GTACAACTCCCAATGGGACCAGTGGGACAGCAGGCTCATTGTCGAAAATGTCACGCAGACTGCCGCTGCGGGACACTTTTGCTGTCGAGGAGAGAAATCCAGACGACATTTACAGCCGCGAGTGAGGAAGAGGCTGGGTGCACCAATCAAAAAGTAGAAAAATGACCTGTCTAGTAGAAGTCCCACACGATATTTACATCCATGACAGAGGATAAGAATGGTTGTAGCAGTCAATTGGTAGAAAAATGACGTGTCAAGTGGAAGTCGCCAAACAAACGGCGGTGCTCAGATGGACACATAGATACATCACTTCTTACAAATCGTGCTATGCAATCTCCTGATGGAGCACGTTTTTTGTTGCTAAGCTCTAGAATAGCTCAGGTGTTCATCTGAATACATAAATCAAAGGGAAGCTTCCGCTCGTTCGGTGGAACACAAAAGGAAATAGGGTACGTATCGTGTCTGTGTCGGGCGCATGTGGCGCACTGGTCGGAGGCGCCCTAAAATACACGCGAGGAATCGATCCTCACTCGCGTGGCCCACCAAGCCTACTATCCCTTCGGGGTCGGCAAATTGGTACCAGACTTTTCTGGGAGGATATCAGCACTGGCTCGATACATCGGTAGGCTACCGCGAGTCATTGTAAAGGCCAGATATGCATTCAATCGCCTCCAAAGGATGCTTAGTGAAGTAGAAGGCATGGCGCATTCCTCAGGGATTGATCAACGCTGAGAGCTTTGTCTTGTCTATCCTATTATCGTGTCTAAGTGACCTATTCATGTCTTTTAGCAAATATGGCTTAAATGGCTCCCTCAAAAATTGTGGTTTTTTTACTGCTTATGAACAATCATTCATAAGTTCTTTTAGAAACGTCCTGCCGTTATATCCCTTTCTTTACCTATACGAAGTAGCAGCTCTCACGCACCTGGAATTTTTTCTTCCATCTCTTTAATTGTTGGATTTCCGATGAAGCCGCCTCCAGAGAATGAATATAGCTAGTACACAGTTACCTAACTATGGAAGGTTTTGAAGATGTGGATAACAAATTTTGTTGCTACAGTATGGAACAACATTAAAAGGTATAACTCATGCACACCGCCTGCCTGGTTCAATATCAATGAGGTTAACTGTCGGTGAATTCTCATTTAAACTTACGGGCTATAGCACGATGAAGTAGTACAGTAGCACAACCCTACCAATCTTAGTGAAAAGAAATCCAAAGCAGACCCATTTCTACATATCAGATAGTGACTGAGACGGAAATGTGGTGGAGCATCTTTACAAAGACTTCATCTAGAATCAAGCACTCGTTTCCACCTTAATGTATTTTTTCCTTTGACTATGTCTAGCATGAACTCGCAGATTAATTGAAGATAACCGCAGTAATAGACGACGGATTTGCAAAAACTTTCTCACTTTTTCATCCGATGATGCTTTTAGCAGGAATTCGCGACTTAATTGGAAATAGGTAGAGAAGATGGATGTGCAATAACTTCCTTATTTTATTATCGTTTAGCTGTAAGCCACATGATGACATGCTGATGTACTACTTTGAGGTATCCATAGTTCTAATGTACATGAAGATCGAGAAGATGAGAAGCGCTGTATGAAGCAGAACATGGAGCAAGGGTAATGGAGTCACTGTAGGGGAAAGGAATTTCCTGTATGGGAAGACGTTGTGAAAGAAGCAATGCAAACCTATTTGGGAGTAAGCCTAGCGTGGATTGTGCCGTATACCGTCTGTCACAGACCAAATGAGAAAACCAAGCACCAGAGATCATGAGCCGTTCGCAGTTGTTTAAAGTGAATAAAAGTGCGAAGCACATATTTACAAGGACCGTTTGAACAGCTGACAGTGAGCAAACACAACTAAATGCACAATGGAATAAAGCATGGCAGTGCATTTTCATGAAAATACTCGCTAACCTCGTACAGCTTTTTATTTATTTCCCATTATTTTTTTCTATAGTGGGGTATTATGTGACGTATAAACCACAGCGATGCTGAAATATTTTCAAAACTCAGAACCTAGGTCAGATTCGAACCGGCGATTACCCTTTTCGGGGACTAACGTGTTACCCACTACATCACCGAGGCACTTCCTTTGTCGTTCTCTCGGCCAGTTTCCTTACGCTAACGGTGCCATAAGGGTGCGTGTGGAGCTGTGGTTGGAGGCGCCACTGCGACGCACATGTGGAATCGATCCTAGCGCCCATGGCTCACCAAGCCTTCCATCCCTCCGGGGTTGGCAAATTGGTACCACACTTGTCTGGGAGGATAGCAGCACTGGCTCGACACATCTTTAAGTCACCACGAGTCAAGGCCAGATATGATAGGCCAGATATGATATGATATGGTATCGCCAGATTGTGAAGGCCAGATATGCATTCAATCACATCCAATGGTAATTAACTCGAGTGCATGGTGCAACCCTCAGAGATTGATCAATACCGAGAGCTTTATCCTTTCATCCTTTTTAACGGTGCCATTAGCCATCACCTCTGTCAGAGGGATTGATCTGCGGAGCACAGATCGGTATCGAACCCAGTTCAGTTGAGGCAACCGTCAAATCTACAGTGTATAACTTTCTATTTACTGCCTATAATGATAGTATTTGTATTGGTATTGGTGATACTGAGATATTTACAAAACTTGGAGAATCAGATGGGCTTCGAATCCGCTCCCCAGATCATTCCGGTTGACGGATTATACCTGATAGAAGCGTAAAGGTAGAAAAAGAGCCGCCTAAGAGAATGGCAATGTAAGGGATCCAGTGATGCAGTGGGTAACATGTGAGCCTTGGAAAGGGTAATCGGTGGTCCGAATCTTGTATGGGGCTTGAGTTTTACAAGTCGTTAACTTTCTTTTCCACGTTAAAGGATGACATTCAAACTGAGACACACGGGAGCAACATACTCCATTTCACTGGCTAATCTACTCGCCAAAGGAAATTTGTTGTTCCTAGAACTTCGATATAATCATGCCAGTGCTTTTTCAGGTTGCCACCAAATACAGTCGCCTTACGACGGTGGTGAAATTCGCATTAATTTACTCCTAGGTGAGGGGTTGGATGGAACTTTCGAATTATCTCATCTCAGGATACATTGTCAGGGGACGAACTTCTACTCTACACTCCATTCACATCTAAATACATCAATACATCCCCCTTCACAACGATGTGATAAGCCATGAAGTTTTTTAAAAATATCTATTTTGTATGAGTTATGATTAAAATTCCATCTTTCGATGAAAAAACCAAAAGTTGCAAAAATTTTAACACAAGCGTGGTGGCCGAGAACATCAGTGATCGTTTCCAGCTAATACCGTATACTCCTTTTTCTAGGATAGAAGCTCTTGGCGTTGATCAATCTCTGAGGGATGCACTATGCATTCGGCTTCATTAAGCATCGTTTAGAGTAGACTGAATGCATATTTGGCCTTCACAATGAGTCGCGGTAGCCTGCTGATGTATCGAATCAATGCTGCTATCCTCCCAGACAGGTCTGGTATCTTGCGGGCTGCAGAATGGAGAACTTGGTGAGTCTGATCTAATGTGCTTTCTGTGACACCTCTAACCGCATTGCTATATGCGTTCTATATTAGGTGGATATGAATTTTCTATGAGCTTCATCAATTTCTAACGACACTCCAACTTTTTTTGTTTCTCCGTCACCTCATGCAGCATCTACGTACTGAGCTTTTTCATCTTTTCAATCTTCTTCGAATGCTGAACGAATTCGCTCTAAAGTGGGGAACTTCTCGTGCACTCTTAGCACTGATGATACCACAAAATTGAACGAAATAATATGCGAAATTAAAAAAAGTTAAATCTTCAGCCCATATGGTGTGAAACATTTTTGCCGATGCATAAAATTTCCGCTCTGAGCACTTACATTGAAAACTTCGTCAGCAGTACTGAACTTCTGAGCTGACTCGTTTCTAATATCTGCGCGTCCGCTGTATTAATAAAAAGGATAAAGGATAAAGCTCTCGGCGCTGGTCAATCCCTGAGGGAATGCACAATGAATTCGACTTCATTCTTCATTTAACTTCATTCAACACCGTTGGAGGTGATTGAATGCATATCTGGCGTTTACAATGACTCGCGGTGGACTACCGATGTATCGAGCTAGTGCTACTATCCTGCCAGACAAGTCTGGTACTATTTTGCCAATCCCGAAGGGATAGAAAGTTTGAGCGCGTGGACCGTTTGGTTTGCGTTGCAGGACGCCTCCAACCACTGCGCCACACGCACCAAACCTGTATTAATAGACAGTCGATCTTCCTCGTCTTTGAAACGTCTACCAGTCAATCTTACTTCCCCAAAGCAACGTATAACATGCGATATCCTGATGGTACATTTTTGGTGTTATCTATGTGTCCAATTATTTCCCATGTTCATGCTGTCTGACATCAAGAGCCCTGTAGCTTCCATACACCTGTTAATATGATGAATTGTGTGCTTCTTTTATTCTCAAGTTAGAAAGTAATACACGTGAGAAAAACTGCCAAAATATCATGAGAACGAATACAAGTAGTATGCAGAAGAATGAATAAAGTGTAAGTACACGTCGGGAACTCGCAATTGCAAAAAATGAGGAAGTAGATCGAAAATGCAGTGAACAAGGAGCGAAGCTAAACCCTAGAGAGCACATTTATACATTATGTGAATCCGTATGAAATATTCCGAACGGAGAAAGCGTTACGAGTAGGCTACGGTAACTGAAACTTGCACAAGAATAGGTAGAATAGGTATAGAATAGGTATAGGTACTACGCGGTATTTTTTCTTTTTTTTTGCTGACATAACTACAAAACAGTGTAATATGATGTCGGAAGAGGTCTACATTGTGGTAATGGTTAACATTTCTGAAGAACAACAGGCTTTACATGTTCATCGTGAACTTTGTTCGTACCAAGTATCTAATCATTATTTGATCGACGTCGTAGACGACATACCTAGAATGACGTCGGATTAAAAAAGCGAAATTCGAAGAGCTATTAAGAATAAAGACCGTACTCATTGTACAGCAACGAAGAACCATCTCCTTTCTCCGCTTTCACAGGTTTTCCAAGTGGAACTGAGTACCCTTCTTCAGACTCAATCGTGCTAATAGGATTGGGCTCTGTTTTACCAAGGCCTAACGAGAAAGCGCTATATAACAGAGTAAATAAGAAAAGTGAATGTTAAGAATCAAATATGTAATAAGTAACACAACAATCCCACAACCTTGGACGCTGTTGAAGGTCTTGAGAGATCTAGGAGAATGATCAATCGCATGGAGCTCTTCCTTCACCTTCCCTAGTGCAACATCGCACAACAACAGAAGTCCGTCCGCATTATCGCTAAGAATCTGCAATAATGCACTTAACAGAAGAGAAATGAAATGAATAAGTCCGTGATAATTTGGATATATAGTGTCCATTTTCATTTCAGTGCGTGATAGAACTTTTGTGCGATATCCTGTACATCCATTTTATAGCTAATCGAAAACAGAACGTAGGAGTGGTCGGAACAGAATAGCAATCTTATACACTTGATGATTTTCAAAAAACCTTTTCTTAGATAAGTTCGCTGGACGCTAATTTGACTAACAATTGGTTGTTACTTCATTTTAATCGCCATAATGAATCATGGTTACTATATTGTATACATGGGCATAAAAAATACCGAAATAGGCTGCCAACCCATTCCAGATGAGGATAACAAATGGTTAGATGAGGGGCTATTGTAACAGATAGTAAATGGTAGCATATATATATATATATATATATATATATATATATATATATGTCATTTATACTCAAAGGACAGTAGAGGAAAGTCTCTTCTTCAACTTTGTTATATGCACAAACCCTCAAGTCCTCTAGATACCAAAAAATTACATTGCAAAAACCTGCTATTCCATGAAAGCTGTGGATTGGGAGTCATCAGAGTAGTGGATGAGCAAATCCATATCGATGCTGCATCTATTTTTACACTTAATTTTTCGGCGCAATCGCTATGAGTTGGTACCAACTACACAACTACATACTATATCCTTGAGGACAGCCGAACTACGGTGAATTATACTAGCTTCTGTTTAGATGCATCGTAAAGATTTATTGCTATACTTATCACTTTTTGGTGAACTAGTTGTGAAGGTGATCAACAGATGTGAATGACAGGAGGATTAATCGTGAGAATCCACAACAACTAAAGAGATGAAGAGAATAGTCGGTTTTCGCCCACGCATGGAAATTATTGTACTTCTTGGCTGGGAAGTTATTGAAGCTCCAATCGAGTCTGTGCACTCCGTCCAATTCTGCTTCAAGTTGTGGAAACATAGATTTTTCATGTTCTTGACCCGCATACAAAGCAGATAATGTAACGCATGACAGAAGGGTGGATAAGTTGTGTAGAAGCAGACCGATTATCGAGCTCACAGCTGTTGGCCTGCAGTCTACGTTCCTGGCAAGAACACGTGTTGATAAGTCCCTAATATAGTTTAGAGGCAGGAGGTTCGCGCTTTTGGAAAACATCCAATATAAAAGGTATAAATACTGCATCAAGGGATTCAAGTAAAACCGTGGTGTGTGAAAGTACATTCAGAAGTAAGAGTGTGAGTGGAAAAGCACTTGTACATAGACGACTTCAACATGACTTCATTTACGGCAAGAATGCTCGAAAAGAAAACCCTTCTGATAGTCATGTGTAGGAGGAACAGGAAAAGTCTTGCAAAACTTGCCATAAGCGGAGAACAGAATAATTGAGAGGTATAGAAGAATGCTGAAATAAAAGAATAAGACGGAAATTAAGACAATATTTTAAACACATGACACGACTCTTCTTACCTCAAAATCGCACCTTGTCAAAAGCTAGAACCAAAGGAAACTTCGTCGACACAAACAAATAGATGGTATCCTAATCTCTACATTTCGAAAAATCTAGTAAAGTCTTGGAAGAAACCAGAAAAACAGAGTAGGTTTTGTTGGCTGTTACGAATCAGCTAGAACTAAGGACTTGAAATCTTTTAGCATAAATTTCAACAAGATCAACACAAAGTGCAACCAATGTAACAAGTATGTTTGCTTAGATTGCTTCAGAAATTGTCATAAAAATAATTGGAGAGATTGTAGGTCGTATAGTATGGAAAAAGTATGAGTTTTAAAAGAATTTTAGATTATAGAATAAGTCTTCACAAATAATATCAATAGAGTGTTACGACATTAAGAGTTATAAACATGGACCCATATGGAAACGGACTGATGAACAACTTGCCCTTTTAGGAAGAAATGGTTTTGGTGAAGTGAGGTGAACAATTGCACTGCAAATACACTTACGCAAGTTAGCTCAATATTTTACCATCTTACCATAGTGAAAAATGATTCTACGTGTTGAACTACACTGCTCAAGTACAGCAGAGTTACGGCAAAAGTTTACATGGTGTGCAACCTTTTTACCACTAAATTTCTTGCCTTCGAAATGAGCTTATCCGAAGAACTTTTATAAATTTTTAATAACAGGGAATTCCTGTATCCAAATCGTGGTTGTGTTCAATAAGTTATCGACTAAATAAAAAGTAAAGCACAAAACCTCTACTCAAAATAGACAGCGGTAAGCAGAATACGTTGATGTAAACTCACGCCGACCGATATGCCCATATCCACAGGTGAATGGAATCCACTCATATTGGACTCTTAGTGTTAAAGTACACGTAACTAACCTTGCAGTAGTTTGCGGACTTTGATACCATATCAGCGAAGTACACACCCTTTCCAAACATGTACCCAGTCTGAAATAGAGGCCTTCAGAAAAAAATAGCGAATGTTTTAATAGAACGTGATATGTAAAGTAGCGAGGTTAGACTCCATCACGACTTCAGGAAAGCTAGGCTAGTCAGTAACACTGGCAAAGTTTCTCTATTCAGCTATTAATTCAATATTTTGCTACCTTTCAAATGATAAGAACCATGCCAATAAGTAAAATAATGTTGCTAGACGTAAGGAAAATCTACTAGCAACACCGAGAACTACCAAATATTCACAAAAACCATCTCGCACAAAAAACATTGCAACAAAAAAAATCTTTTCTAAAGCGAACCGCTGGCGCCTCGGGTGGAGCAATTCGGAGTCCCTGCGAAAGGATACCTCCATAATTAGTAGTGCTCGAGCCGTGCCACAGAAGGCGACGATTTCCAAGTTCAGCTTTGAATTTGCCCTTTTCGCCAGCGCGACTGACACGTATAACCTTGAAGTAAAAGTTTAAAACCAGTAATCTGTTTAGAGGGCGGCAGTATCTTGAGTCAAAAAGGTGAAAATGAGAAATGATGACGAAAAAGATGAAAAGATGAAAAAACGAACGAGATACGGTATGCACAAAAATGGAAATGGAAGTTACATCTACGATACTAAGGTCGAACAATGTATGAGTCGCTCCACGAGTATTTGCCATGTAGTTTTTGATGATTTCGAATTCTGATGACTCCGGATCAACAACCTGAACAATTATAGCACTTCTAAGCATAAAATCCTGCTACATATGGCAAATGAAAACTAATTCTAAAATCGTTCTAGTTATTCTATAATCACCTCCATTTCACACTTCAATTTCTCATAGTGAACATCCACAGGATCGCGGTCATCCGCTTTGCTGTCTTGTTGCCCGCTGATTACTTCGTAGGCGATCTGGATTTCCAGCAAAGAACCCAACATATCGCATTTTTCCTGGATAGCCACATTTAGCTACAATTCCTATCATGGTATCAAATAAAATGATAGTACTGCTTTATCACCTTTATTAATTCCAAAGAATTCAGTAACGGAGGTTTCTCCATTCCGAAGTTGTGCGGGATAAGAGTGTAGAAGCGGTTTGACGCATCCAAGACTTTCTCAGCATCCAGCTTCTCCGACAAAATCTTCAATATGATAACACTTTGAACGCTTCATTGGTACAGCGATTTTATAACTTCGATCCTATTTGGCCTTGTTAAAATCTTTTTCTATTTCTAATCAAACCATTAAAGCATCGAAAAACATGAAAAATAATAAGTAGCAACTCATAAGTCACAAATGAAACCGTTAACTGAAAACTGAAACAATAGTCAGTATTCCAAGAGAGAAGTTCAAATATAACACTACTTCACAGGAAATTTCATGAAAATTGCTCAATGTTGATTTACAACCGACCGACTGAAGTTCCGTAAGAATCGAATATGCATTTGTTATTTGTTTCTTCGAAAGCTTACCCAGCGGCATCTTGTCAAGATCGAGCTAAAAGATTCCGATATTTCTAAAGCAAATAAACAACTGTAAGCTAGCAAAACCTCTTGAAATTACCTGATAGCCCAGCATTGCACCTTCCATTTGCTCCATATCAAAAATCATAAGAATAATATCTTTAATGGCGGAGTGGAGTTTTGTCTTTGAACCAGGGATAATTCCGGAGTCCTGCACATGTTTCTGAAGACACTACACTATTAAAAACTGTCCTTTAATTCTACTAAAAACAACTAGTAGTTTTTAAACTATTTAAAACTAAATTTTAAAAACTTTTAAACTAAACTAGTTTTTAAACTAAACAATTTTAAACATTTTTGTAGAATTAAAAAAGGATCCATAAAAAAACTATCACCTGTCGTCTCGTTGATCGTCGAGTGACTCGAGCGGGCGCCAGTAAATTTTCCATTTTTCCCTGCCGTGTGCAAGAGTAGCCCAGTTGGTCCTGCTCGCTCTAGCGACTCGTCGAGCATCATATCTTTCTTCTAGGATTTTCGCGAAGAACTCTGACCATCGAGTCGGTGATCTTCCTGCAGTGCTTTTAATATCCCGAGGAATCCAGTCACTAACGGCTCTTGCCCATCAATTGTCATTCATACTCATTATGTGTCCAACCCATTTTAGCTTCGACTGTTTGGCGTACAGAACGGCATTCTTGATTTTTGATCGTTGATGCAGGTCGGAGCTTCGGATCCTATCCCTTACTTGTGTGGAACGGGATACTCCTACCACCGTCCTTTCGACTGCTCATTCCATGACGCTGAGCGATCTTTCATCCTGCTTACGCAGCGACCAGGTTTCTGACGCATACGTTAGGGCGGGAAGTATCGTTGAGTCGAAAAGGTGGGCATAGAGTCGGGTGTTCTTTGTTCTCTTCACTACATCCTCGATGCTCTTGAAATTTTTCCACAGGC